ATCATCATCGTCATCATCGTCGTCGTCATCACCATCGTCATCGTAATAATAAGTTTACGTGCTTCGGAGAAGCGTTTCTGGAGCACGTGCAATGAGGACTGGCGGACATCCTCACCATCATCATCATCATCATCATCATCATCATCATCATCATCATCAGCGGCGTCATCAGATGTCATCACTACCATGAACATACTCATCATCATCGCCCTCGTCATCGCCATCGTCATCAGCACCGTGATTGCACGTGATCCGAAAAGGCGTGACACCGGGATCGTCACCAACATCATCATCATCATCATCATCATCATCATCATCACCGAGATCGTCATCAACATCATCATCGTAATCATCTAGTCATCGTTATGTTCATCAGAGTAATGATCGCCATCGTCACCATAATCCTGATTATCAAACTCGTCGTCGTCATCGTCATCGCCATCGTGCTCTGCAGAGACGTTTTCCGTAGCACGAAATGAGGGTTGGCGGGCATCTCCATCATCATCATCATCATCACCACCACCACCATAATCATTGTCATCATCATCATCATCCTCATCCTCATCCTCATCCTCATCCTCATCATCGTAAACATCATCATCATCATCAGCATCGCCATCATCATCATCATCACCATCATCATCGTCATCGTCATCGACATCATCATCAGCAGCAGCAGCATCATCATCATCATCATCATCATCATCATCATCATCGACATCATCATCATCATCATCATCATCATCATCATCATCATCATCATCAGCATCAGCATCAGCATCATCATCATCATCATCAGCAGCAGCATCATCATGAGCACAATCATCAGCATTTTCGTCATCGTCGTCGCCATCGTGGTGTAAGTCCTTTTCGTCCGTCATGGAACTCTTGTGGGCCGTCATGGGGGGCTCTGGGCGTTAGTGGGTTTTCATAGGGGGTGCCTTGGGGCCCCGTGGGAGCTGTCTTGGGGGCCTCGCGGGGCCCTCTTGGGCAGCCGTGGGGTCCTCTTGGATTGTCCCAGGGCTCTTTTCGGCCGTCCTGAGGCGCTCTTGGGAAAGTTGCAAGGGGCTTCTTGGGGCGTCTTGCAGGCACCGTGGGCTTTTCGGAGGCTGTCCTGGGCGTTTTGGGTCGTCATTTTGGTGGATGGGTGCCCCTTCTGGACAATTTTGGACAGGTCTCGGGGGCTTCACGGCGAGTGAGAGGGACGCTCTTTTTTGAACCGTTTTGGACAAATCTGGGGGGTTTTCACGGCTTTGTGGGTCGTCTTCGAAGCCTCTGGGGCCGTTTGCCGCCTGATGGGAACGAGCTCGAGGCCGTTTCTGACCCGTCAAAAATCATTCAGAAACCAGTGTAAAATGCATGGGGTTCGGCTCTCGGGGCTCCTTGGGCATGTTGTCGGCGGCTTGTTGGGGCGTCTTGGAGGCATATGGGGTGCCTGGAGGCTGTATTGGGTGTCTGGAATCGTTAATTTAGCGAGGGGGGGGCATCTCTGGATTGTGTTTTGGCATGCTGGGGGGCTGGTTGGCGGTTTGGGGGGGTTCTCATCTGGGGCTGCTTTCGGGCCGTGTCAGAAGCCTCCTGGGCCGTCTCAGAGCGAATGGGAAGGCGTCTGGGGCCGTTCCGGATTACACCAGAACTGGACACGCGCACACGTGAAAATCCTGCGACAACCCGCGTGAAATGCATGGGATTCGGCCCTGGGGGCCCTCTGGTGCAGATTTTTTCGGCGGCTTCTTGGGGCGTCTTGGAGGCATCCCGGGCTGTCTGGAGGCTGTCTTGAGCGTCTTGGGTCGCTACTTTGGCAAGGAGGGGCTCCCTGGATCGTGTTGGGCAGGTCTGAGGGGCTGGTTGGCGGCTTCGAGGGAGGTCTTGGGGCCCTCTGGGGCTGTTCCGTGTTGGAAGTTCCCTGGGCCGTCTCAGAGCGAACTCGAGGGCGTCGCGTCTGGGGCTGTTTCAGATTGCACCGGAGCTGGACACGCGCACTCGTGAAAATCCTGCACCAACCTGCGTGCAATGCATGGGGTTCGGCCCTGGGGGCCCTCTTGGGCAGGCTTTCAGCGGCTTCTTGGGGCGTCTTGGAGGCATCCTCGGCTGTCTTGGGCGTCTTGGGTCGCTACCTTGGTGTGCAGGGGCCGCTCTGGGCCCCTCCGGAACGGCTCCAGGAGGCCCGGAGCGCCCATGGCGACGCGGGGCAGCTGGCAGGGCCCTCCCCCTGTAACCCAGTGTGTGTGTATATATATATATATGTATATGTATGTATGTAAGTAAGTAAGTACGTAAGTAAGTACGTATGTGTTTATATGATAACACAATATAAAAATGGCGTTGCTAATATTCTTATGAATAATATTAAGAAAAATAAAACGAAGGCGACGAAACATATTATCAAAACTGCATTGGCTATTCGCGCTATGCACCTTGATCCTTGAAGTTTGGGATGGAGGCAGAAGGATGGGACAATACAACATACAATAGATCGATAACTCCTTGTTGCCTTTTCCGGCATCGTCATTATACTTGTGTTATTATATGAAACAACGTCATTGTTTCTTCTTCCTTTTCCTCATTCTCACCTTACCATGCAATTCGTCCATCCTCCTCAGGTCTGTTTGCGGAGGCTCCTCCTTGGAGAGCCTCTTGGGGGCCTCAAAAAAGTTGTAAACGGCTTCTTGGGACTTCTGCAAGCCTCCTGGGCGCCTTCTGGGAGCTTCCTCGGGCCACCCTGCTTCCAACCTCGGTCTCCCTGAACGACCGGGTCACGATTTGGAATGCTTCGGGGGGCGTCGTGGGTCAATCTTGGGCCGTCATGGGGCCCACTTTGGGCCATCTTGAGAACCTGTTGGGCCGTCCTGAGGCTCTCGTGGACTGCCCGGAAGCCCTCGTGGGAAGTTGAGGGGCGAATTTCGGGCCTCCTGGGCGGTCTCGGACGTCCGAAAGACCGAAGAACAGAGCATTCCTCAAATCATGCAAAAACCGATGCGGATATATGTTCTCTTGCATGTCGAACGCCTCTTGAAGGTTTTCTTTAGGTCGTCTTCGGGCGTCTGGTGGGTGTCTGGTGCCTCTTGTAGCCCTCACGGGGCCGTTCGGCCGTCCTCCTGACCGATTTGGGCCCGTTGTCCAGGCCCACCAGGGGGTTTCCAAGAGCCCCAGAAAACCCTAGGGACCTTCAGCTGGCCCCTGGGGCCACTGATCATGCGGGTCCCGTTGTGGGATGGAAGGGGAGGGGAGGGGGGGGTCCCCACCTCCCCGCATGGCAAGATATGGACAAGGGGATATGTGTATACATATAGATAAGTACGCACGTATGTATATTCACACACATGCATACATACATACATGCATGCATGCATGCATCCATACATGCATACATACATACACACATACATACACATCTGTACATTTACATACAGAGATACAAGCATACATGCATACACACATATATATACACATACACACATACACACATACACACATACACACATACATACATACACACATACATACATACACACATACATACATACATACATACATACATGCATACATACATACATACATACAAACAAACATACATACATACATACATACACACGTACAGACATACATACATACACCTACCTACCTACCTACCTACCTACCTACCTACATACATACATACATACATACATACATACACACAACCAAGCATACATCTATATATATAAACATACATACACTTACATTCATCTATGCATATACATGCATATACATATATATACACATGTTTATGTAGATATGTGTGTCCCGAGCGCGACCAAATATGTCAGTTGTGTGTGTGTGTGTGTGAGGCGAGCGTGAGGCTCGGGACTTCCAGCGAGCTTGCCAGCAGCGCACTGTTGCACACCACGCAGAAACAGATAAGGACAATGTTTCGAGACAACCGCACGGCGGGATATCACTAGCAAGCAGTAGCGGTGGAGGAGAAGAGGTGGAGAGCTTGAGCGAAAAGGCCACGGGCCATATACAAGAAACCATGCCAGAATCGATGGCCAGGCTTCAGACGACACTCGGGTGGAAGACAAGCGTGTTTGAAAACGAGAGCCATGTCCCTCGAACGTGACCAAATATGCAATTTCTGTGCGAGGCGAGCGGGAGGCTAGGGACTTCCAGCGAGCTCACCGGCACTGCATTGTTGCACCCAAAATCCCATCATGGGTTCTGGTCAGCATATGTTACTGACAAAGAGAGCTCATTCTGGCAAGCTGGTGTCTATCGACAGCACGGCGCAGCCACATTGCAATGGCACGAACGACTGGTGGGGGATAAGCTTCTGCGAGCACCGTCCACCTGCGCCCACAGGGAACCTTCCCGTCAAGACTGATGTGAGGTCTGCCGGTGCAGCCACAGATATGTTTAGCACCAAAACACTTGTTGCACAAAGCGAGGGGAGCAAAACCAACACTCCACACGAACAACTTGGTCCGCTTGCGCCAGCGTGCTCAACGAGCACAAAAATCCAACACAGTTTGAGTACAACCAGGCAGCTGGGACAGGCGCTGAAAGACAGGTTCCTGCCACATGAGACTGGCGGCGGGGTTCTCGAAACCACGGGCAGCCCGCGCACTAAACGGGCGCGAATGATCTTCCGAAGCTGCTTGACACAAGCGTTGCCGAGCGCAGTCTTTTTCTGGGCTTCGGTGGTCGTGTGGGGATAGCCATCTATGCTGAAAACGCCGCGAAAGAACTTGCGACTGGCCATGGACCAGGTGCTACACGGAAAGGCGGCCCACACACCGCGCACACAACCAGCGCCGATCCAACCGAGAAGAATTCCGGTTAGCCGACGACCGGCGATATCCATCCAACGCTCAAGACGACAATCGAGAGAAACGACGCCGAATTCCTAGCCGCGACGGACGGCCGAGCTGACAGACCCTTGCCGCGCGAACGAGTCGAGAAAGACCTGGGCCCCCTGGCGGCTCTCTCCAAGAGCCTGTGCAAAGAGCAAGCGGACTCGCCTATGAAGAGCTGCGCGATTCAGGTGGCGGGATCCTTCGAAGGTGTCGCTCGCGTCTGGCCTCGCCAGAGCGTGCCCGGCAGCGGCGGGCGCGGCCAGGCACTGGGCTCGCGGCTGAGGATCTCGCCCAGGCACAAGCGCACATTCCCACGCGAATGCGCGAATGCTGGGCGGCACCTTCGCCGTCTCGGCGAGGTGCCGCGCGGATCGGCGCCAGCTCCGAGCACTGACCAGGCCGGCGCGGCGGAGGCGCGCCTGGGCCTGCCCCAGGGCGCGCAGGTCCGCGGCGACGTCGTAGCTGGCCGACCCGCGGCGGGTTCGGAACTGGCGGGGGGTCCTCCATCTCGAGCTGCTCGGCGCGCCCCGTGATCGTCGCGTTGAACTCCACGGCGTTGAACGTCCAGAGCGTCTTGACTGGAGGCTCGGCGTGAAGCTCGCGCAAGAAGGCCCAGGCGCTCGCGAGACATCCCCCGGCATGCCCTCGTCGAAGACCAGCCGCTTGCCGAGCCCCCAACATTGGTTGAGACACCGACGCCAGCGAACCCTCGTGACCTTGTGGGCCGGCAGGAAGGTCCGTGGATCCCACCGCGTCGGCGTCAGGGTCGATGAGGTCGCCTGGCCGGGGCGATCCCGAGCTCGACGACGACGAAGCTTCTCGGCGGTGGATGCCGCAGCCGATGTTGAGGATCTCTTTCGGTCGCTGCTAGAATTGCTGCCTGGATCGATGTCCTCGGGGCCGGCGCCGAAGGCGCCGCTGCGATCGGCCCAGACCGGCTCGCCAGCCCAGGCGTCGCCGAGCCCCGCGGCCGCGCGGCCGGTGGCAGACCGGAGCCCCATTTCAGCAGCGGCCGCATCAGCGGCGCGCCAAAGAGACTCCTTGTCATGGCCCTGGCTGGGAGGTGCTATCAAGTCCAGCCCCAGTGCCCTGAGCCGAACAGGGCTGCGCGGTCATCCGCGCGGTCGCGGACTGGGGCCCCCAGTAGTCGAGCGGGCTCATTGGCAAGGTTGAGCACTGACAGGGCCCCGGCCCACCGGACAGCGAGGTCAACGTCAGCCATCAAGCGCGCTGCGGCGACGCGGCGGAGCACGGCGTTTACCGATGGAACTGAAGACCTCCCCTCGCCCGCGGCCAACGCGAGAGACGCGGTTTCCGACGGCGCGAACAATCGACGGCCCAGCCGACAACGAGATCAGAGTACGTGCCGAAGCCCAATGAGAAGAGCCTTGGCCTCCACGTGCACGACGCCGGCAGCTCGCCCGAAACGCCCGTGGAGACATGCCTCCCAACACTCTGGCATGCCAAGGACCGTGCTTCCCACCTCCTCGAAGCCTCCGCTGACGTAGGTGACGGGCCCCTCCTCGGACCCCGACGGCGAGCTCCCAGTGGAGGTGCCCCGCGAGACCTCGGGGCCCTCGAACGGCTCCAAGATGCTGAGCGGGGCTGGGCGGATGTCGCCGTCTAGCGTGTCGCATGGGAGCTCCTTCTTTTTCCGGGGCGCGTGGGGGTCCTGGCGCAGGCCGAGAGACGCGGCCCTGGCCTGAATGGTGGCCAGCGCGCGGCATTTCCATCGCTCACACACGCAGCGCTCTCTGAATCAATTCGACGTCCAACTCGCGGCCCACCGCTCCGAAACCGCCGCGATCACTCGCGCCGTCGTCGCGGCGGCTCCCGGAGGCGCCCGTCGCCGCCTCGACGGGCCTCGCGAGGTCCGCGGGGGCGAGGAGCGAGGGCGATCAGCGTGCCCCCCCGGCGGAGCTCATGTCGGACGGCTGGCCAATGGCGCCAAGCTCGATCCCCGGCCTTCTCTGCGAACGAGTACGCGGCCGCCGAGACCGAGAAGGGCCCGCGTCGAATGAGGCTCGCCCGCGTGAAACGGCTGGGCAACTGCCAGACTCGGCCCCCTGCCGGCGCCCTGGCGTCGGCGGCGAAGATGAAGGCCCAGCGGGCCCGCCGCGGGCGCGAGCGGGGTAGGGGGGTTCGCCCGCCGGCGCGGTGGAAAATCAAGCCCGCGAGCCCCCGCTCGCTGCTCGGCTCGACGACCCCTTTGGTCAGCAAGCCGCGCTGCTCTAAGACCTCTTTCACCTCGATGATGCCCCGCGCGCGCCGAGCGGCGCCCGCGCCCAAGACGGCGACCCCGTCGACGTGGAACGCCGCGGCCGCGGCCCCGTTCAGGCCCGGGGCCGCCCGCCTATCCTCGACGACCGAATCGGGCGAAAAGCCGCTGCGCAGCGCGCGCTGAATCGCGATCTCCTGGCAGATGCACGGCGACCAGCCCCAGCCCGCGGGCAGCGCCGCGAGGCGGGGCGAGGCCACCTCTCCGTCGAAAATACCCAGATCAGGGCGAGCACGTCAAGGCAGGAAGGCCCATCGGAGGATGGGCGATGAAGCGGGAGAAGCCGTCGGGGACGAGGAGGAAAGAGCAGTCTGGGGACTCGGGGACGGCCACGGGTAGAAAAAGGCCTCGATGTCACCGGCGCGAGGCTCAGCCCCCCGCCCGCGGGGGCGCGCGCGCATCGCCGAGCCCCCGCCGCGGGGGCGAGGCGCGCGCTGGCTGCGCGAAAAACTGGTTGACCCGCCGCGCGTCGAGGATGAGCCGGAACGCCTCGCCGCCCTTCGGCGCGAAGAATATCTCCAGCGTCGCCCCGCTCGGCGGCCCAAGGCCAACCGCGCCCGCGTCGGTGCCCCGCGAACTTTGCGCGCGAGGAGTAGCTGCGCATGAGCTTGGGGTCGCTATGTGGCTTCGCCGGCTCGCCCCAGGGTCGAGGCCGCAACGGCCGCTCGCGCCGGCCCCCCCAACGATCGAGCGCCCTCCCCCCGCAGCAACTCAGCGCCGCTGCACTTCGGGCCCGGGGTCGGCAGCGCGACCATGTCGCGCTTGAAGGCGGCGGGCCTCTGGGGCTCGGGGAGGCGCGCAGGGCTGGTGCGCGCGGCTCTCGGAGGGCTGCCGCGCCTGAAATTGCGGGACTGCCGACGCTTTGAACTGCATGTCGAACCTGCTGATGACCAAAACTTTATCCAATGCTGGGCAGACCGAGATCGGGGCCATCACCGCGTCCGCGGAGGCAGTTGAGGGCCGCGAAGACCTCGCCCGTCCAAGAGTCAACGAACGACCGGCGTCGCGCCTCGCCTGGCAGCACGAGGAGCCACCTGCGCTGCCAAGGAGCGCCGGGACCGCGACAGGGGGCAGATCCCAGGGCACTGGCACGGCTCCGTCACTTGCCGCTGCGGCCGCCTCCGCGGCCGCCTCCTGCCCCGACCTCGCCAGCGGCGCTATGGCAGGCCCGGGGCAGGCGAAGCTCCGCATCCTGGGTCTCGATCCATTTGCAATGGCTCCTTCGTGTCGCTGCTGGTGCCATCGCCGCCCCGCGAGAGCTGGCGCTCCTCGCGGAGCTTCCGCTTCTCCTTCATGATGGAGCTCTCGCGGCGCAGCTCGCTCGAGATGTGCTCGACCAGCGGGGGCGCCACCATGACGAGCCCCCGCGCCCATGCAGAAGCGCTCATTTTCGAGCGTCTCGTCGGCCCGGCGGGGCGCTGCACGGTCGCGGCATCTCCGCTCCGCCATCTGCGCCCGTCGGGCCAAAGCCTCGAGGGCGGCCATCTCACTGATGTCCACTGAACATAGCAAAGCCCAAACTCGAACGCACGCATCACAACCTCATGATCAGCCACCCTCTGGGCCCCCGGCCGACAGGCCCGTCTCGTGAACCCATTTCGCGTGTCGGGCCTGGGGTGGCTGTCCTGCTCGGCGCAGAACCGAAGGTACCAAGCTGTAGTCCTCAGCCCGGGGAGGGGCCAATTGTCTCACTTGGTGACGCTCAGGTTCTCCACGGCCTCCGTGAAAGACCGCTTACGCTCGTTCATTGAATTTCTGAATACTGAATGGGCATGATGCGCGCGTCCATCTCAAGCTGGGTGTCGCCATCCTTCGGGCCGAGGGCACGGAGCAACAACATCTGACCGTCCAGCCTCGCGGTGGCGAGTCCACCTGAGCAGCAGTAGTCGTCCACGTCCGTCGCCGTCAGCGGCTGCCCAGCTGGGGTATCCTCCGAGGCTGAGACCACATGCCACTTCAGCGGCTTCACTGTGGGGAGGGCGCCCACGCCCTGTTCAAGAGCTCGAGTTCCCGCTGGGGCTGCCGCCGCTGCTGCCGGAGCTTGCTTCCACCGAGCTCGACGGTCTATTTTCTATCGTATCGAAACTCGATCGCCTCCACCACCTCTAACGGACTGGGGACCCATTCGAAACCGTAGACCAGTCTCGCAGCCCGTCGCTTCTCACCTCGCGTCTCTGCTACTTTGCCTTCGTTGTCCAGCACCTCGAGACCTGTGATCATCCGCCTCCCGACGCGGAGCAACAACAAATCCATACGAGCAACATATCACAACTCCGCTCACGAATCCACCGAGCCAGGTCAGCAGTGTGAAGAATGGGGTGAGACGGATCACCCAGGCAATCACAACACACTCCTTGGCCTGATCAGCAAGAGACGACAGCCACGGCACTGCTGAGATCACAGGGTTCGATACGGAGCAGAGGCCTCCTCCGAGGGCTGGGAGGACACCGGGAGACATATGCCGGCCGTCAAAAAAAAAACTCGGCCGAAATGGTCACGAGCCAAATACAATAAACCGTGCCTGCATCAAGAGCCAAGTTTCAGACGGCACGCGGGTGGAATACAAACGTGTGTGAAGACGGCAGCATCTCTATACACACATATATATATACATACATACACACGGAATACATATTGTTTGAATATATATATATATATATATATATTATATATATATGATATATATATATAGATATATACATACATATATATATATATATGTATATATAGACACCTATATATACACAGAATTAAGCACAAACATGAAGAGATGTGTACGAAGCCGCGCTCATCATTATACCGGTCCTCCTCCGTTTTCCCCTCATAGTTTCTCTTCGTGCTCTCAGTCCCCCCCTCCCCCTCACCACCGCCGCCGCCTCCTCCTCCTCCGCATCCCTGGCTTCCTCGTTCTACCTCCCTCCCTGCTTATCTTCCTGCTCCTCCTGCTCCTCCTCCTCCTCATCCTCCTTGTCCTAGCCTCTCACCGCTCCTCAGAAAGTGTTAAATATCGGTGCCCAGACCCCTCTCCCAGTTGGCGGCTCGCACGCAACGGGGTAGGGGGAGGGGGGGGGAGGCTTCTCAGAAGGAGGCTGCTTCTGAGAAGGCGTAAACCCTACATTTAAAGACAAGGCCCGTGCCTTCTAAGAATCAGGGGTGCTTCTAAGCATTCCCCCCTCACCCTACCCCCCTCTGCGCGCGGCTGATCCAGGGTTTATCCTAATCCGTCTTCGAGTCACGATCGATTTCCGACGGCCCTGGGGCCCGACATGGGCACCGAGAACCAATAAAAAAAGCTTACAGGGGCCTCATGAAACCCATCGTCATCGTCGTTGTCTCCCCTCCATCTCCTTCTCCTCCGCCTCCCCGCTCGTTCGTAACCCATGGACACATTTAGGGTTTTGGCGACGTTTCTCCTCCTCCTCCTTTTCCTCCTCCTCATCCTCCTCCTCTTCCTCTTTCTCCTCCTCCTCCTCCCCCTCCGCCTGGAAAATGGAACCTCGTGGCATGACAGTTTTCCTGAACGTTGCCCTCCCCCCCTCAGGGCCGAAAGGTCGGCCCGCAGGGGGGGGGTGATCAAACTAAGGCCAGGCTACCCCTGGAGCACCGTTCCAGGGGCCACCGGCATGCACGTATCTTTACGTGTAGATGCAAGTAAAGGTGGACCTGGCAGACCCAAGTCTTGCTCCACCTCCTCCTCCTCCTCCTCCCTCCTCCTCCCTCCTGCTCCTCCCCCTCCTCCCCTCCTCTCTCCTCCTCCTGCTCCTCCCCCTCCTCTCCTCCCCTCCTCCCTCCTCCTCCTCCTCCTGCCCTGCTGCTCCTCCTCCTCCTGCTCCTCCTCCTCCCCTCCTCCTCTCCTCCTCCTGCTCCTCCTCCTCCTCCTGCTCCTCCTCCTCCTGCTCCTCCTCCTCCTGCTCCTGCTGCTCCTCCTCCTGCTCCTGCTCCTCCTCCACCTCCTGCTCCCCCTCCTTCTGCTCCTCCTCCTCCTTCTCTTGCTGCTGCTCCTCCTCCTCCTCCTCCTCTTCCTCCTCCTCTGCCTCCTCGTCCTTCTCCTGCTCCTCCTCCTCCCCTGGCGAAAGAGCGGCTGCCCGCCTGCTTCCGAACCTGCGCGTGCCCTCGAGGGTGGCCGTGGCCACGTCCGTCCACCTGCTCGAAGGGTTCGGAGATCGGGGCTCGAGGATCCAGGCTCGAAGGTGGCCGCCGCCAAGTCCGCCCTCCTGGTCAGAGGAGGAGGAGGAGGAGGAGGAGGAGGAGGAGGAGGAGGAGGAGGTGGATCGAGGTTCGAGGCTCGAAGGTGGGTCCGCCCACCTGGTCGGAGATGGAAGGTCGAGCTTCGAGGATCAGGGATCGAGGCTCGAAGGTGGCCGCCGCCTCGTCCGCCCACCTGGTCGGAGGAGGAGGTTCGAGGATCCAGGAACGGAACTCGACGGTGGCCGTCGCCACGTCCGCCCACCCGCTCGGGAGCGGAGCGGGACAAGGAAACGGTCCCGATGTGCTGCTGGAGTGTCTGCCGAAGGTAGCACGGGGTTGCCCAACCAAAAATGGAGAGGGCTGGATCTTCGCATCGCCACGTTGGGCAGTCACCTGCGACCCCGCTGGTTGGTAACATCTGTCCCGTGACAACTAAAACCATCGCGCGCGCTCGAGTTATACCTGTCTTGGGGTCTAAGGGGGCAGAGGGCTGCGCTCGAACCAAAGGGAGCTGAGGTGGGTGGTCCAACGCGTTTGTTGCCGATGACGCCAATCGGCGCGTGGGTCCGGACGAACGGTGCCAAACTACATACAAATATACATGCGTATAATGATTCATTGTCCCCCCGCTCCCTCGCCGTGGCGTTCGGCCCCCTGGCCTGACCTGACCCGCCCCCGCCGTCAAGACAAATCACAGACGGCCCTCAGGGCCGTCTGGGGGCTCTCTTGAATGTGGGAAGGATCTTGGGGAGGTCAAACAGGTTTTTGGGAGAACTGGTATGTGGGCTCCCTCTTGGCAACCTCCAGGAACGTATAGAAGAACTCTGTGGGGTCTGCGTGGGGCGTTCTTCGGGGATCACAAACTCGGCCAAGCGAGCCTCTCGCGCGCGCGTGTCGGAATCATTCGAACACCCTTGCGCGCGGGGGGGGGCGGAGGCACGATCCATGTCAAATAACACCATGCGGGCCACTCGCGCGCGTCGGCAGCGCGCACAGGTCGAAATCGTTCCAAAACCTTCATCACCGAGGCGGGGACACATCGTTACTATCATCATCGTGTCTGCCGTCGTCAACGTCGCCATGATACCGCGCCCACCCGAGTCACCGACTCGCACTGAAGCGCCCGCGCGTCAGCGCGGCCTGCGAGACGCGCTGGGAACTGCCCAGCGGTCAGCGCCACCACGGTCGCGTCGGTCGCACCGAACTGGCTGGCCGCTGCGCGCGCGTGACCATGCGCGGACTAGCGCGGCCGCAGGGATGCACCAGCCAACACCAAGCACGCATCGTAATCGCCGCCACCTGGGTTTTGCAAGCAAAATTGCGGGTGGGAGGATGATTGCGCGAGCACTGGAGCTGACAATTCCAAGCTTTTCTAAACTAGTATCACCACATATATAGCACCACATATAACGGACACTATTTATATATATGTATATATATATACATTGCAACACCTAGGTTCTGTCTCAAAAAATGATATCCCCCAGCACTTATCGATAAACCCTGGGGATGTGCAGTTTATGTTTGTTCCTGTCCCATCGCTCATTCTTAATATGAACTAGCACCACCCCCGCCAAGCGACGTTCGACCCCGTCCCCCCACCACTCTTGTCAAATAGCACTGTGCGCGCACAGTGGTTTATCAAACTCGTCAATTGTCAGACCCCCGCGCACAAAACTTGACGAAGTGCACACGCGCTCGTCGTCGCTCACGCATGCCGAAATTCCCTCAGAAACCGTCGGTTTCGCACGAGTTTCAAAATCGAATGTCCCCAGCAAATCATATGAAAACCATGCTCTTGGTTGGCAAGATGGCTTTCGAAAAAAAAAGATTCGTTGTCCAACGCGTTTCATTAAACTCTGCGAAACAGCCTTCGCACGCATGCATGTCGAAACCATTTGCCACTGTTTGCGGCAAAGGTATCGCAGCAAATTGTGCCAAACAATTCGGAGCTTCCCCGTTCCGTCTACATTCAATTGGTTGCGACATAGGTTGCGCCACATGTTCCATTAGAACCCACCCGAACTACCACATCGCGATTTTCAGCCACACCTACCTTCTACACCTTGCGCCTTAAGTTGCGGTAAAAGCTGCGACGGGCGCCGCAGTGAAAAAATCTTGCGAAACCGCACATACTTAGAATTTGATTACTTGCGTGCCCCATTGCGCCATCTGGTGTCATAGTTTGCGCCAGGCATCCCGCACTCTACCAAGTCTGTGTTGCCCTGAGGTCGTGCACCATTGCGCCACTGGTTGCGCCATCGTTTGCGCCAGGCACCCTGCGGTCTACCGAATCATCAGCTGGTTTTGTGGGTGCACCCATGCGCCATGCATTATGCCGCAAGTTGCACCATGCACCCGGCAATCTACCGAATTGTCGGCTGTCCCAATGGGTGTACCATTGCGCCATAAGTCGTGCATAGGGTGCACCTAACACCCCGCCGTCTGCCCGTTTCACTCCACCACCTTGCCCCCTGGCACATAGAGGCGTGGTAGAATGCCTAATGCTGTCCGGTCGGGTTTTTGCAAGTTGTCTAAGGCCTCTCCCATCTGAACCACGCTCAGTCCTATGCATCCCTCCCCCTCCCGAGGCTCCGTGGGCGTCCCGAATTCCCTGGAGCTCCTCAGGGTTTCCAAAATGGCCTCGAAGGCCACCAAAGCCACCAAGAGGGCGCAGCATTGCCTCAAAACGCCGAGAAAACCCAAGGAGGCGCCGAAGAGGCTCCCAAGACGTGTCCAAGACATCAGAGAGAAGGCCAGGAGGTCTTCCGGAAGGGCCAGAATTTCTCGGAACACTTACGGCGATGACATGGTTTGGCATATTCGGTGTTTCCTGGGCCTCTCGGCCCGACACGGTTCCACGAGCGCCTCGGGGGTGGAGAAGCGAGGCCCAGAACACTAAATGATGACCTCCAGGAGCCCCCCAGACGGCCCAGCGCATCTCCAGAGAGCCCCACGACGGCCCAAGAGGGGCACAGGACAGTCCAAAGAGGCACCAAGATGGCCCAAGGCGGCCCAGAGAGCCCCAAGACAAGGCCCCACAGGAGCCCAAGAGAGCCCCAAGACGGCCCAGGTGATCTCCGTGAGCATGAAAACCCCTCACATGCTACGGCCTTCTGGGTGGTGCTCGAAGCGTGGGCACGCTGAATGCTCCGCTGGCATGGTTGCAGGAGTTGCCGCAGGCAGCTGGACACAAGAAATGTTATTGCATCCGCTGATTAGGAACATGTTGAGCGGCTCAAGTCTGATATTGCGTGTTAGCAGTAATACGTAACAAACAGCAATCGTAGTAGTGATGGCGGTATCAAGAGAGCCGTAGTAATGAAAAATGAAGACTGTGATAGACATAGAAATAATAATAGTAATGAAAAAATGAAGACTGTTATAAACATAGAAGTAGTAGTAGTAGTAGTAGTAGTAGTAGTAGTGCCTGTAGAAGTAGTAGTAGTAGTAGCAGTAGTCGTCGTATCAGTAGTAATATAACAAGTGGTGGTAGCTGTAGTTGCTGTACTAGTAGCAGTAGGAATCTTATTCAGATCAATATACAAATGTAGGTTGTGGTCGTAGTAGTGGTAGTAGTAGTCGCAATAGTAGTAACAATACTCGGGGTAGTAGAAGTAGTAGTAGTAGTAGTACTAGTAGTAGTAATAGTAGTAGTAGTAGTAGTACTAGTAGTAGTAGTAGTAGTAGTAATAGTAGTAGTAGTAGTAGTAGTAGTAGTAGTAGTAGTAGTAGTAGTAGTAGTAGTAGTAGTCGTTGTAGCAATCGTACTTGTAATAATGGTAGTCGTCGTTCATAGTAGTCGTAGTGGTAGTCGTAGTAGTAGTAGTCGTAGTAGTAGTTGCAGTAGTAGTAGTAGTAGTAGTAGTAGTCGTAGTCGTAGTCGTAGTCGTAGTAGTAGTAGTAGTAGTAGTAGTAGTAATAGGAATAGTAATGGTCGTAGTAGTCATACAAGTAGTGGTGGTAACAGTAGTAGTCGTGCTAGTAGAGCTACTCGTAGTACTCGGAGTAGTCGTAGTAGTAGTAGTAGTAGCGACAGTAGTCGGCGTCGTAATAGTAATCGTCGTCGTAGTCGTAGTAATCGTAGTAAGGGTCGTAGCAGTACTAATGGAAGAAAAAGACAGACAGCAGCAATAGTCGTAGTAGTTGTAGTCGTAGTCGCAGTAGTTGTAGTAGTAGTAGCAGCAGTAGCACTGTTGGTCGTAGTAGTAGTAGTAGTAGTAGTAGTAGTAGTGGTAGTAGTAGTAGTAGGAGTGGTGGTAGTAGTAGGAGCAAAAATAATAGTAGTAGTGGTCGTAGTAGTTGTGCTAACAGTCGTGGTCGTCGTTGTAGGCGCAGTCGTACTAGTAGTGGCAATAGCATTGACAGTCCTGGTAGTAGTAGTAGTAGTAGTAGTAGTAGTAGTAGTAGTGGTAGTAGTAGTAGTAGTGCTTATACTAAGAATAGTAATGATACTAATAATTATAATGCGAATCGTAGCGATCGCAGTAGTAGCAGCCGTAGCAGCAATGGAAAATAAATAATCATGCTGGAGAAATGAGGAGTAGCAGCACAAGTCGTGAGTGTAGCGGGTAGTAGCTATACGAGGTCATAGTTAAGGTACGACTAGCTACAATCACGCCTGGTACGTAATGTCATAGTCGGTATAAAGAGTAACAGCACGAGCACTCAGTAGTAGGAGCACCAGAGAAGCAACGTAATCGAGGTAGTAGTAGCAGGAGAAGTCGCAGTAGTAGTCGTAGTAGTAGTAGTAGTAGCAGTAGCAGTAGTAGTAGTAGTAGTAGTATTACTACTAGTAGTAGTAATAGTAGTAATAGTAATCGTAGTAGTCGCATGTGTGGTAGTGGTAATAGTAGTAGAAACAGCAGCCGTATTAGTAGTAGTAGTAATAAAGATAGTAGTAGGGGTAGCAGTAGTAGTAGTAGAAGTAGTAATAATAAGCCGGAATATCCAAA